GTGACTGCAATAAGGTTGGCAAAATGGGCCAACCCGGCCCGACCCAACCCGCATGCAACTCGAAAAAAACGAGTCGGGTTAGGGTTGGCTCGAAAAAAAAACGAGTCGGGAAATCCAACACAACCCAACCCGAGTCGGGTTAGGGTTGGCTCACGGGTTGGATCAAAAATATGGCTTGTGGGTTGGCTTGAAAAATAGCTCGCGAGTTGGCTCGAAAATTGGCTCGCGGGTTGGCTCGTTTTCAGCCTATTTAAATAACCATGTAGTATTAATGCACCAACTATATGGCTTCCATTAGCTTAAATGAAAGGTTACAAAATGAGAAATAAAAGCACAATATTTTAGTTTCGAATTTTCTTCACAACAAATTTGCATCAACACCAAGAAACAATCAGAACCACTTGCTACCAAGTGGATAAGATATTTGAACCAAACAGAGCCAGCACAACCTAAAAATTTAAAAATGGTAGGGATGTGAGAAGATTAAGGACTTAGGTTTAGAGAGGGAAGAAAAATGATGATAGCATGTGTGAGTTTTATCCATCTTTGTATATTATATTTTGTATTTTTTATATAAAAAAACGTGAGCTGGCTCGTTTGACCTGTGGGTTGGCTCATTTTTTCACGAGCTGGATCAGGTCGGGTTGGCAGTTCATTTTTGCCAACCCAACCCGGCTCATTTTGGCGGATTACGAGCCAACCCGACGGGTTGGCTCGTTTTTGCCAACCCTAGACCGCAAGATTCCTCTTAGGCTAAAAGAAAAGTTTTATAGAACAACAATAAGCCCTATGATATTGTATGGAGCTTAATGTTGGCCAGCACATAGGCAATATGAGCATAAAATAAGAGTAGCTAAAATGAGGATGTTAAGGTGGATGTGTAATTATACAAGCACGGATAAGATAAAAAATGAAGATAATCGATAAAAGGTAGGAGTAGTACTGGTGGTTGGAAAAATTATAGAATATTGATTGAGGTGGTTTGAGCATATAATGCAAAAACCTCTACATACTCTCTTATGAATAAAAGTTTGTTACAAAGATCTTGACACAAAGAGAGAGAAAGGTCGGAGGAAACCTACTTTGAGGAAGGTAGGAAAACAAGACATTATGGAGTTAAATATAGATTGGCGGAGAATGTGTCTTAGGTTGGATTGAAGAAAAGTTATTATCGTCGTAGAGGGTTAAACCCATTTTTCTTCCTTTGTTTCTGATGATCCCTTTTTAGTCTTTTTCCCGTATATCTATCTTTATTTCTTGCATTTCCTCTTGTTTCTTTGCCTCTCTTATTTATTCATTTTCCTTGTATTTATTTTTTTTTTTCAATTTCTCTCTTTACTTTTCTTTTCTTTTCTTTTTTCTCTTGTACAATTTTCTCTCTTATTTATCTTTTTTCTTAATTTTTTAATTTTTTATTGCTACTATTGTTTATATATTTTTATTTATAAATCTTTTTTCATCTTTTTTTTAAAAAAATTTAATACTTTTCATTAAGGTCTATTGTGACTAGGGGTGTAAGTGAGCTGGACTGGGCTGAGCTTAATTTGACTTAAATAAGCCAGACTTGTGTAAAATATTTTGGACCTGACCTGGCCTATTAGCCGCGTGTAGGCCTTTCTTACCAGTCTGATCTGGCATATATTTAAAAAATAAAAGTCTTGGCCTTGACCTGTTAAAGCCTATTAGGCATTCAATAATTAAAAAATAATTAAAATAATATTACTTTATCATTCAAAATCATTAAAATATTTATTTTATTTATTTTATTTAAAATAAATAATATGATATAGGACAAGCTGTAAGCTTATAGGCCTGACATATAAAACAAAGTCTATGGCCTGCTTTCTAGACTATATGTAATAGGCCAAACTTGTCCTAATTTTGGCTGGGTCGTAGGCCTTTATTAGACTGCTTGACCCATTTATTCCTCTAATTGTGACTGACTCCAACAAATGTGACTTGAGTTGCTGAATTTGTGGGTATAAATAGTTAGGACTTCGTTAGTTAGGACAATATGCGAGGATTCAATACTTTGTATCAGTGTTTTAAAACTCGGATCGACCCGTGTCTCGGTGACCAGGCGAGGGCACCAGTTCGAGTGGCTATTTGGATCAGCCATGTACTTGACTCAGTTTTGATCGGTTGACCCAGCCGAGTCTCAATGACTCAGTGGGTTAAAAAAAACCTGGTTGACCCATTTTTTTATTTTTTATTTTTGGAAAATTGACCTTTTTTTTAAGTTTGCTTCTTATTCAAACAAAAGAAAGGGAAGAAAAAGTCTTAAACAAGTTGGACCTGCATTATGAGCTAGGAATTGAAGGAAGATCCTAAAAACAATTTGATTTTTCAGCTTAAAAAAACAAAAACAAAAAACAAAGCTCTAGTTGTGACTATGTATAATAGCCAACTTTTTATATATGTGTATTCATTCTTTTCTTCCTATTAATATTTTATATAATTGAAAAAAGCCTATACTTTATGAAAGCATTTGGATAATCAGTATTGTTGTTTTCATCGATTATGCTTTATACTAATAAAGAAATATCCATAATGCATTAATTTTTCATCTAACATTTGCTCTGTATCGTCTCAAAGTGCATAAAATCTTGAAGATGATGGATGATCTTATCATGTCTCACTTTTTTACCAGCTTGTTATGGTTATTGATTCGTGAGATCCACATTTATCATTGATTCACAAATTTCTTATACCTCCCTCAAGGGCTTAGATCAGGAGAGATGATGGAATGCATCAATTTTAGATAAAAAAAATTTTGGTAAACCAATTCTATATAATTTAGTTAATATTATTTTTTATTTTTATCAATTTAGTTAATATTATTCTTTTATTTTTATGCATTCTAGATACCTTTATGAGAATTTGATTAAAAAATTATAAAATATGCAAACTGTTAACATAAAAAATTATAATGCTGCCACTATTTGTTGCATATAGAGATAACATTCTTCTTTCACTTGTAGCATTTATTACCATTCACTTTCTTCATATTATTATAAGTAATATATTTATATTTTTTTAATATGTGATCAGTATATCCAAACTCAGTAACTTAGTACCTCAACCGAGTTGATGACCGGTCCGAGTTTTAAAACACTGATTTGTATACTTTCATTTCTTCTACGTTTGGTGAAATTTCAAGCGTTATTCGAGTTTTAAAACACTGTTTTGTATACTTTCATTTCTTCTACGTTTGGTGAAATTTCAAGCGTTGTCGGAGCTTGTTGCACCAGACTATGATTACTTCAAGGTGGAAAAATGATTTATTTGGATTGAATTTTTTTTTTTAATAAATTCTTATGGTTTATTTTTTTATAATATTTTTTTAAAGCTAAAGTTATTTTATATTTAGATTAACCATATAAAAAATACTTTTAAATAAAACATTTATTTGGATATTAAAATTAATAAGCTCTTTTTTATATATAAAATTACTCAATATGGTTATTTGCCGATCTATAAAAATAATTGGATATTCATTTTTTCCTATCTTAAATTGTTTTCATGTTTGCTAACACATTTCTGGAAATTCCTACGTTGTCCATGGAAAAAAAAAATTGATGTCGAATTGCAACCAGTTATCCTCAATAAATCCTAATTTATCAGCCTGCCACAGACTCCGCACATTGGATTTCCTCCGTGGGAGATAACCTTCCTCCGCACCTGGTCTGGCAACATCGACTACTTGCTCAACATATCAGCGATCGGCGCCTTTTGTTGCCTCTTGATTTTCCTCTTCGTGAAGCTCCACCATGACCACAGCTGAATGCCGGGCCCGCCACCCTCGTCACCAAGCACGAAGGTTGAGATTTGAGAGACATGAGATTATATAATTATGCCCTCTGTAAATTCATATATCTCAACATATCTCACTATGTTCCACTATGAATTTTATTGTTCTATTCATTATAATGTTTTGCCCAAAACGTTTAAAAATAGGTTTTAAACCAAAATTTGTTATAAACCATCAATTGGAACCAATTTAGAACCAATTTTTTAAAAAATTGGTTCAATTTATAAACCAAACCAATTAAAACTGGTTCGATTCGAATTTGAACAAAAACTGAACTCAACCGCTCCGTTTCAAATTATCTATTTTCGAATGTCACCATTCCTTCCATATTTGCCAATTAAATGGAAGGTCAATGAGATTTTAGGGAAAAGTTTTTTTTTGTAGACCTAGATCATGGTAGTCTCTCTTCAAAATAGGGAAAAAAAAGGATAAAAGGGAAAAAAAATCAAAAAAGAGAGATAGAAATGGAGAAAAATTTTCATTTATAAAAAAGAGACCACTGACTAAGTGGTGGTCCTGGAACATGTTAAATTTTTTCAAATCATCACGAAAAATTAAAGAATTTCATGTGAGGTAAGGATTTTGAAAAGTGAAAAGAAAATAGTATTTCGTGATTTTGAGTGAAATTTATAGTTTGGCTTAGTGAATTTTAAGTTGAGAAAAGGAGAATAAATTCTTTCATGTCTCTTTTTTTATATTATCATGGAATATGTTAGATCTTAATTATTTAGTAGGAAAATATTACTTTCCTTTTACATAAGATAACTTTTCTCATGTTCTTTTACTTTGATTTTCGCATCCTATATTTTTCTTTTTTTTTTGTAATAATGGAACTCATTCGTTTTCTCTTTACAACATAAGATAACTATATTATGTGAAAGGAGAGTAATAAAGCTCTATTTATTAATGTATTAACATTCATAATTGAAATGAAAAAGCAAAATGGTAATTTTAAATAATAATTGATAATCAATTTAAACTTAACACATGATATAATCATATTAAAAAAATATTAGAGAATTTATTCCCGAAAAAATAATTAATGAAATTAAAAATTTGATCATATCAATTTTTTTTTAAAAAAAAAAAATTAAGACAAAGAGAGAGACTAAAACAAAACACTACAGCCACATGTACGAGGTTGCAGTTTATAATCAGTGTGGATGGCGGCACTAGATTCATCAAATAAATTATGAGGTTGCAGTTTATAATCAGTGTGGATGGCGGCACTAGATTCATCAAATAAATTATGGTGTTACAGCTCACTATTTGCAACACAAAATAATTAAAAATAAAAAAAGGTGAAAAGTTGAAAGCTGGATCCGATTCAAGCGATGTGATTCCGTGACCTTATTTGGATCCGTAGTGGCGATGGAGGAGTAAAGCTATGGATCTATTCGTTCTTGTAACTTTGGTTACAAAGTCACAGTTTTTGATCTGATTTTGCAGCTATTGATCTCTTCGTTCTTCGCTTCAATTTCCCAGGTTGGCCTCCTTTTATCCAATTTGAGATTTTGATAGAAATTTCATGTTTCTTCTTCAATCTATTTGATTATCCTATTTTTTAATTTTTTAGGGTGCTTGTATTTCTTCTTAGATCGATGGTAGCGCTTTGTATTTTATTTTTTTAATTTAATTTTTTTGTTAGGTGGATAAATTTAGATTCTCGCTCTGTCATGTAGATGTTTGATGGCAAAATGGGTTAACATTTTTGAAGGAGTGTCAAGTTGAAGAGAACAGGTAGAGTTTTAATTTTGACATTTTAGTGCTACCATTTAGTTTTGTATGTCTTACCTTGTCAGTAGTAGTGAGTGAGTGAGCGTAGACATTGATGATATTCATGAATTATTATGAATATGATCCAATAGTAGTTAATTGTGGGGTTAGCTTGTCTCTAGTTGTTTACGCTATATTTTTCTTGGTGATGGTTTCAATGCATTGGATCAAGAGCATGTCTTCTTGCGGTGCATCTCTGTGTAGAGGAACTAAATTGTTATATTTGTTTTATTGTCAGCCTTTGCCTGTGTATTCTTGTTAGTATCAAAAACTAGAAAAGCTAATATTTTGATGAACATGTTTCGCCACAACCAGAGTGTAATGTAGAAGTATTTTAATTCTATTTAGATTGGTGCAGTTTTGTGTTGCGAGAAAGATTGGTAAGCTGTGGGAACATCATGTCATTGAAAAGCATAGTCCGTGAACTCAAGGAGATGAGAGATGGAATAGGTAACATATCAAAGCGGGGTGAAGAAAGCAAGCATTGGCACGGTCGGATGAAGTCACATGTAGCTCCGGATGTCCTTGTAACTCCAAATGAACCTATTCAACAGGGTCAATGGGCAAATCTACCACCAGAATTGCTTTTGGACATAATCCATAGGGTTGAAGAGAGTGAGACATCTTGGCCTGCACGGGCTGTTGTTGTTTTTTGTGGTTCGGTATGTAAATCATGGAGGTCCATTACAAAAGAGATTGTCAAGACACCTGAACAATGTGGAAGGATTACATTTCCTATTTCATTGAAGCAGGTAATTAATTCTTCACCCCTTTTCTGGTGTAATTGTAATCTTTCTTCATCTTTTCCTTTTGAGGTTTTTATGTCTCTTTCCTTTATGTGTACGAATAGCCGGGTCCTCGTGATTCTCCAATACAGTGCTTTATCAGGAGGAATAGAGAAACTTCTACATATCTATTGTACTTTGGTCTGGTGCCATGTAAGTTGCGTTTGTTGCCAAAACATTCCAATACTTTTTTTTGACACAAGGATATCAAATTTCTCAGTTTTAAGTTACTGTTCAAAGCATAGCATTAATGATTTGAATGTTGAACTGCAAGCTACTTGCTCTAAATATATGGGTTTCTTTATATTTTGTTGTCATTTACACTGTAGTTGTCAGCATCATCATTTTTTCCTTCTATTTGATCATCTTCATAACTTCTTTATCAAATGTATTAATCAGTGTCCATATTATTTTTAATGTTCATAAATTGGGGATCAGACTGCACTTGCTTTACGTAAATTCTTTGTTTACATACATAATCTTAAAGGAATTTAAATGAGGCAGAATTTAACTTAAAACTTTGGACGTGGCCGAAGCCAATTTTGGATTTGTTTTCTTCTTTCACAATCTGTTTATCTATTTTATTGAAGTTTGATAGAATTAGTTCCTGATATGATATTTGAGAAGCTTGTTTTGTCTTGGTTTTAACTTTTAACTTTTAATTATATAGCGGAGAATGAGAGTAATAAGTTGTTATTAGCTGCCAAAAGGATAAGAAGAGCAACAGGCACCGACTTTGTCATATCCTTGACTGCAGATGATTTTTCTCGGGCCAGCAACAAATATGTTGGTAAACTGAGGCAAGTTTTGGTTCATAAAAACTTTACTTTTTCCCTCTTATCAATTTTTGACCTTGCTCTTTATCATCTTTTCTGCAACTTGATGTTGTACTCTTGGCAGGTCTAATTTTTTGGGAACCAAGTTCACTATATTTGACAGTCAACCTCCAAATGATGCTGCATTTCAACCAAATTGTCGTTCCAGTAGGAGATTTAACTCTAAGCAGGTATCACCAAGAGTTCCAGCATGTAACTATCTTGTTAGCACTGTTTCCTATGAGCTGAATGTTCTCCGCACTAGAGGGCCAAGAAGAATGCACTGCATCATGAACTCCGTACCTGTCTCAGCTATTCAGGAAGGGGGCAACGCCCCAACTCCAACATCTTTCCCTCAAATATTTGATGAACCTCTTTCTCCCTCACCAGCACTGAAAGGAAAAGGCCCAATTACAGATTTAAACTCTGCAAGCCTATCAGAGCTACCAGTATCGAGCCAAGGCTCAGTTGAGCATTTGGTACTAAAAAACAAGGCTCCCAGATGGCATGAGCAGCTACAGTGCTGGTGCCTAAACTTCAAGGGTCGTGTTACAGTGGCTTCTGTTAAGAACTTTCAACTTGTAGCTGCTGTTGATCCATCTCATAATGTTTCTGCTGCAGAGCTAGACAAGGTAATCTTGCAGTTTGGAAAAATTGGAAAAGACATATTTACCATGGATTACCGTTATCCGCTCTCCGCCTTTCAGGCTTTTGCCATCTGCTTGAGCAGCTTTGATACCAAACCAGCCTGTGAATGAGAACCATGTTACTACATTGTGATTATATTATGCTGATTTGTTCTATATATAAAATGCTAGGCACTGTTCATCAGGCATGGTGGCATGCAGCTGAAAATCTTAACTGTGCAGCCATTAGTATTCTCCCCTTGTAATGTGGTTGATTCTGGAATTTTTTTTATGAATGTTTCAGTCATGCAACTCAAATTAAATTCAATGAAGTGTAGTGAATTTTATATTCTATATATATAGTAGTTGACTGTATTTCTTACTGATGAATCTTCGGATTTGCTTAAATACTGAATTTTAAATTGTCGATATTCTTTGCTGATGATGGCGTTATACATTCTTCTAGCAAGAGCTAAATATTTACTCTCTCAACGCTCTAGTATAGGGGAGTTACATGTGCATTATACATTCTTAAGGAATAATACCGGTGCACTCTTTTTGAATATGTTTTTAACACCCTTTTTTTTTTTTTTTTTATAATTTTTCATTATTGAGTTACATTTAAGACTTTCAATGCTCTAATGCTGATGACTAACAATTAAATCGTTGGTTGATATCGATGGACTAAGTGCAACTTGGCAATCTTATTCCGATTTATGAATACTTAATTTCCACCCACTTGCCTCTCTGTTGATGCCGGTTTGGGTTAACCTGTTCCAACCTAAACCCCACTTCAAAAGAAATATTTTTGATTTGTTAATGCGAAATAAATTGAGTGAGTTTAAACATTTTTCTTACTATGTGTTTGAATTTTGATACTAGTGAATAGGTCAGTTGGGTTGAGCTAAAAGCGATCCCTACCTACCAAAACTAGGCGGTGGATAGAGTGTGCTCTAATCAAGGTGCATCATTGTGCAAGACTTATTTCTCCTTAATTTCATGCATCATTAAATATTGACATTGAAAGATTGATTTTCTTTTTTAAGTCTCCATGAGAAATGGTTTCATAGTAGATAGAAAGGTTGCATTCAACATGCCGTAAAAATCGGGAAGGGTCTACAAAATGCAAGTTAAGAAAGCTTATTTTGATATTCTCAATCATCTATGATTTGGGAGTAAGAGAAAGCATAGAAGACGCAAGTTAAGAAATCCTCTTCCAAAAGAGACAGACTTATTGTAATCCATTTTATCATCCGGTGAGGTAAGTATTGAGGGCAAATCTCTATTTTTTATTTTATTTTTTTGTAATAGGGAGGGGCCAAGCCCCAAAGAAAACAAACATTGCTATTATAACAGCAGACGAAACACTAAGCGCATCCTTTGACAGCAGCTCCAACAGACGTGGGGGAGGATTGAAATAATCCTGGACCATGTCACGATTCCTGTGGTGATTCTTTGCTAACCCGTGGGCACAAGCATTGTATTTCTATACTTTCTTTGGACCTCTGGTCCCTAATTTCTATTCCTTACATGGAAGAGCTTTTAGAAGTAAAATATAACTCAAGAAAAAATATCAACAACTTTTTCATATTTTTTTATAACAATATGCTTTGAGGGTGAGTATCTAAACAGAGGTAAAATTCCTCCTTATGATCCAAAGGTTAAAACTTCATACAATCAACCATCACCCTTGTCTTATAAATAAGTAGCTTTTTGCTATGTTTAAGCTACCGGAATCGATATATATTTTAACAATGATAATCTTACCGCCCCAATGCCTCTGCTACCAGCCTGCCACTGCAAATCTCAAGATAGTATTGCTTAATGCTCAAATGCTTTCTATATACATGAGTACATGTTCCTTTCATTTGTACGTCGTCACTTTTATGATGAATTTGATTTACTGTCTGCATAAAGACATTGCTATTTACATATACTGAAATTTTTGTTTAACTTGTGATTAGGTAGTCAAATTTTTATGTCATTTCAGTCTTATTACATAACCAAATGTAGCTTATGTTATACAATCAAAAAATGTCATACGCTGATCAAGAATTTTTTTTCTATATTCTATACGGCATCAAACAAAGTCTGTACTAAAGTAAAATATTTTATCATTTTTTTCACATTTTCTAAATTTAAAATGGAAAGTGTAATAATTAATTCCAATAAGAATTCCACCCCCAGCTCCACCTTTAATTAAAAAAGGGGCGAATGTAAGAATACTTTCTCATTTGTTCTGAAATAATTTAAGAAGGACGCTTCAGAGAATGCAGAGCCCCAATTTGCAGGAATTATGGAGCATTTGCAAAACAAAACAAACTATAAACACTTACAACACATAAAGGGTACTGATAGCCACATTTGGTGATAGCCACATAAAGGGTGGTACTGACAGACACTTCAGTGACTGCTGTTTCGGTTTCAGGCCTTCCGGAAGATAATCATCCGGCATCCTTTGAGTTAACACAAGGTTGGCTCGGTTCCTTACATAAAATTCTCATCGTATAGAAGAGTAGGTGATGAACTCTGTCGAAGTAAATTGAAATGGTTGATGAGGAATAGGGTTCCTGCAATAGGGGTTTACATAGAAAACATTAACTAATATTTTTATAACTGAATCTAAGAAATTGTTTAAAAGTATTAGGAGACACACGGTCGAGGCCCATAAACTTTGATCTGCCGCACATGAGTATCCCTTCCATTGAGATGGTTTGACAGCACAGCAATTTGCAACATAAAAGTGTTGACAAAAGTTTCCCTGGAATTGGTGAAAGGCAACAATAAAATTCTATCAATAACCTTCCTGATATGTAGAAAATGGAAGATAAGCAATCAATCCTCTAGTTATATAGGCTCGTCTAGAACAACAATCAAAGACACAATCCAATGTAATGGATGAAACAATAATGTTATTAGCAAACAATTTCTGAGATTGAAAAAACAAGAAGACAGAAAAGCACTTACCGAGGATCAACTCCAGATAATGACACATAAACCCAACCAGTTGGCTTCACAAGTTCCACAGTTTTTATCTCCTGAAATTGTTCCCAAAGTCATCACCAACAATAATAACCAAATTGATCATGAATCAAACTAAAAACAACAACAACAACAGCCGAATTGGGGAAATCACCTTCAAGTTGTGAAAGCCATCGCCGGCACGGATGGAAACTTTACTCGGCGTGTAACTCTCATCAAGCTTAAAATCAACATAGAGAACAACTAACTTTGAAAAGAACAAAAACAAATTCAACAAAATTAGGATTTACCAAAAAAAAAATATTTTTATTTTTTATTGTTATAAGATGGATGGGTGGAGTAGTGAACATACCTGTAATCTAACTTTCTTTTGAAATTGGACGTTAACCAAATGGGGTTGAGCACCGTCAGATCTGAAAGAGAGTAAAGTATGGTTAGTTGATAATGAGTGAAAATGTTAAAATGCAAAGAGATATAAGAGTGAGTGACAGAACTGCCAATAGGTTTCGAGATTGGAATCGCGGAGAGAAGAAATGCCGTTGCCGGGTTTGCAGGAGCTGACACTCCAAGCGGCCTTCTTACCCATCTCTCTAAGGTCGTCGTCCACCGTCAGGAGGTGGTTTCCTCCACTCACCTTCGCTTCTTCTTCGCCCTCCGATGATTCTGCAGCCATCTCTAACACTCAACCAACTTTCTTCATTTTCAATTTTAAACCCTAGCCCCATCCCAACTCCCGCTTCTGATTTCAACTGTGGTATTTTTTTAATTTTCATATAAAATTCCAAAGCATCCATCATGTTTAAAACGTTAAATTAAATTTTTAAATTTTATAATTTAATTTTTTGTATTTTCAAAATTTTGTGACTAAGCCTCTATTATCTAACAGAATTTTTAATTAAATTTATTTTCATTATTAAATGTTACAATTAAGTTCCTAAAATTTTTAAATAAATATAATATATTAAATGACTAAACATTAATAAATTTGGTTGTTATCAATTGGTAAGAACTTATTTAAAAATTTAAAAATATTAGAAAGTTTAAATCATACTTTAAAATATGTTTTTATAAAATATTAAAAAAATTAAAAATAAATGAAATTATAAGCAAGAACAGAATAATTTAACTTATTTTCCAAATTACATTTTTTGTTTTTTACTTTTTCACTGTTTATTTATTTTCAAAATTTTAACTCACTAAACAGGTGTGTTTTAGTAATAAAAACTTGATATTATGTCCAACATACCGAAAGAGAAAGGTAAGAAAAGACATAAGGAAATATTTATTTTTCCAAGTAAAAAAAAGGGGAATAGTTATTTGTAAAATTAATAGAAAAAATAAATTATGTATTTACTAAAAAATCAAACAAAAAGAATTTTGCTATCTAAAATGGATGGATTTTGGAATTGTAAATAAGTTGTTTGAATTTCTTTTATGCACCGGTTATATTTACTACTACAAAAATTTATCATCATTACAATCAATTTAATCATCGTTGGATCAGAATTAAATCTGATGACCCACAATCAATCGTAATTATCACTCGTCATCCTCTCTCACCTTCTCTCTCTAGTTCTTCCAATTGCACACGACAAACTGATAAATTTGTGTCTCACGCTATGTTCAAATTGCAAGTTTGTTCCCATTTTCTGTTTCCTTTTTTTTTCTTCTTAATTTTCTTTGTTATCTAACTATCTAGAATTAGAGACCAATGTTACGAAACTCGACTTGGTCAAAATATTGGATCACTTGTTTAATCACATGATTCAGTAAGTAAATATAAATCTATAATTTATATTAAAAAATTATTAACATACTCAAATATATATAAGAAAAATGATACTTCACCAAAAAAAAATACCAGTTCCAAATATTCAAATATGAAAGTTATAGGATATTGTAACAACCAATTAGGGTTACTACCAATATTACTACCAATCATTTTTACTGTTAGATCGATTATGTGGATCTAACGGTTATATTTACTTTCATCTTTATATGGTTATGATTCCCCATATTTAATGTGAAAGCATTAAATATGAGAAATCATAATCATACAAAGGTGAAAATAAATATAAAGTATTAAATATGAAAAATCATAACCATACAAAGATTGAAATAAATATAATCGTTAGATCCACATAATCGATCTAACAATAAAATTGATTGGTAGTAACACTAATTGGTTGTTACAATATCCTTCCCCAATATGAAAAACAATAAATAACATATCATTGTCCAACAATATTAAGTATTACAATATTAAAATAATGAGTTTGGTGTTTGTCATTTTAAATGATATAAGTTATGTCATTTTAGGAGAGAGATATATACAAAAAAATGGATATCATGGGAGAGATAAAGTGAATGGTTTTTTTTAATTTAAAATTTAAATAAAAGAATTATTTTGTGTCTGTCTCTCTCTTAAAATGACATAATTTTATGTCATTTAAAATGACAAACACTTTTCCCGCAAATAATATGTTATTTACTTTTTCATTTTATTATTTTTTTCTTTTTTCTTTTTTGAGTTTTCTCAAAGAATCCCTCAACCAATAACTGAAGACTAATCATTTCGAGGCGTAAAAATCACCAAAGTAGGTTTTGCCTCTACCAACAAACTATGTTTAAGAGATTCAGTCATCTACCAACTGTGTCAAAAAAAGTTAGTTATTTTTTTTCTTGTTTGAATAAGCAGAAAAAGGAAAAATTCAGAAGAAAATTACGATGGGACCAATTGATTTTATTTTTATTTTTTCAAAAAGGGAGCGTCACGGTGTTTTGATTTTGATTCGGATAAATACGTTGGACCAATGTTATTAAACCTAAACCGACTATCGATTTGATTGGGGTACCAGATTAATGGATTATTAGTTCAATCAGTAAATTATTGATTAAACCACTTAAATTGAATATATACAAAGATATATAATAAATATATAAATAAAAGTATAGAAAAATATTTTTGCAGTTACTGCATATAAGTTATCTGTATTTATTCCCAAAATGACGTTGTTTTGGGAATGAAATATTAAAGAATTATAATTATAAATACTATAATAACCCTGAAATAAATTAAAATTACAATAATATCATGATTTCCGTTCCAAAACGATATCGTATTAGACTTACTGCAAATAACTTATCATAAAAAGCAAACCCATAAAAGTAACATGACAACTAAAATAATGACTTAATAGTTAATATTTTAACCAGGTTAGACCGATTTTCATAACACTGATTATTACATTTTATTACAAAATTAATCATAAAAATCGAAAAAGAAGAAGAAAGAAACCCCCTTCCGAAAGGTTTTACGTTAAAATAATGGGTTTGGTTTTACTCATGTTGCATGAGACAAATTGTCTCATGCAACACACAAAAAAGTGGGTGAAACCCACTAAGAAAGAGATGGAAAAAGAAAAAAATAGGTCCTATCCACTTTTGTGTGTGTTGCATGAGACAAATTATCTCATGCAACATGAGAAACATATTTCTCTAAAATAATTGTATTTTTTTAAGGGAAAAAAGTTTCTGATGTTATTTTAGACAACTTTGTCTAATGTTCATCGAAACGACGTCGTTTTGGAGTTGAAATATTAAAAAATGAGAATGATAAAGACTATTATAACCTGAAATAAATTAAAATTACAAAAACACCATGATTTCCGTCCAAAAACGACGTCGTTTTGGTGAACATTAGATAAAGTTATCTAAAGTAACTTTAGAAAAAACAAATCCTTTTTTTAATTCTCTTGCAAAACTTTTAATTATTTTTTTTAAAAATTTAAAATAAGCTAATTAAAACAGTGGAAAATTGTTTATCCTTTTAAATGACATAACTTATATCCTTTCACTCCCACAAAGAGGTGGGACCCATACCTTTATTTTTTATGTCAACTCTCTCTCCTCCTTTATCTATCTCTTTCTCTCTCTTAAAATGACACAACTTTATATTCTTTAAAATGACACACATTTTTTCCTTAAAACAGACATTATGTGAACAGTATAAATAATTCAAAATATCAATCCTAAAATCAGTGCTCAAAGTATATTAGTGTTTGACATATACAATAACAATAAGAAAAGCAACTCACAGCCTTGCCTACCTAAGCTAAGAGGCTGTTTCTACAACTAGATTACATGATCAATCATATAAAAGATCTATACATCACACAGCCTGCAGTTACTGTACAAAATTTTGCAACAAAACGCATTTTGAAAGAATATTTAAAGCAAAGAAATACTCCAAGATGAGCTTTAGTATTAAGTGCAAGAAAGGCATAATCCATATCCAACCACATAATATTAAGACTATCTAAAAATCCAACCTGTCCCTTATCAGTTTCACCTCTTGTTTTTTGATGAAAGTGAACTGGACTTTGAGAACAGTGATAGTTTCTTCAAAAACATGGATTTCTTTGATGGCTTCTTTTCTTGATTGTTAGAATCACGAGAGGTGTTGAGATTTGGCTCAATGCAATCTTCATTCTCAACGTAGTCAACATCCCTCAAAAGACGAAGCAGTTCCAATGCAAATGCCTTTGCATTATCATTTCCTTTATTTGAGATATTAACAAGAGAAGGGATAATCCCCTCATACATAACCAACTCACAGTACTCCACACGTTGAGAACATAAAGAGAGTAGAATAGCCAGTGAAAGTTCTTTTTCCTCATCACTGCCACTCCCAAGTATTTCAGCAACATAAGATATGCATCCTTTAGTTTCAACAAAAGCAACCCTACCCTCTTCAGTATCACAAAGGTTTTTCAATATACTTACACAGTCTCTCAAAAGGGTCATGTCTTCAAAAAATGGCAGCAATTTTGGGATGCACCCGAGAGATACCATGTAGGGACTAATTTCACCATTGGATGACAAATTGCACATTATTCTAAAAGCCTTTCGTTGGAACTCTTTGTTACCAGAATCAAGGATCTTTGAAACAGAAGGGAGTGCATGTGAAGCTGCAATGGTAGCTTTATCATAACAATTCCCAGACAGTTCTTCCATTATGACAAGAGCTTCTTCAATCACTTCTGAATCAAGAAGAGTTGCCAGCATTCTGAATGTATCTTCACTTAAATTAGTCAGATCATTTCTGCATGAAAACCACAAAGAAGTCATTCCAATATCAAAAGCAGGTGCATGAAACTTTTTTGTTTTTCTTGCAGGCAGAAAACCCATCAAATATATCAAATATGTGCGTAGGAAATTTGCTTCTTTTATGCAACATGAGATAAATATAACCCTTTAACTATATATATTCAAGCAATGAAAATGGAAGAACTATAATCTTCAGTCTTAACGTATCTGCCAAGGACCCAGAGCAAATTTTAACATTGAAAAAAGCTGAACATAACAAGCTTTCCTTGTTCTCTAAACCAAGTGAATATTGTTTTCAAAGGATGATTGTTAATCAATTTTGTCACAACTCACCAAAAAATTTAAATTAGAGAAAGATAAACCAAACTAAATTAACTAGCAATGTACCAAGAACCAAATTGCCAGGGCAAAAGAAATTGTACCTGCAGTTTTTCATAAATTCCAACAGCAACTGAGTTCCAGCTCTAAGAGCTTTCACATCATGAATATCATACGCAGTGCTCAGGAATCTTATGAGTGGGTCAACGAAATTCTCAGATGACACAGAGCAAAAAGCTTGGTAATTGCATTCGAAATCTTCTTTCATAACTTCAATGACTTGACATTGGGAATCCCATTGACGATCATGGAGTTTGGACAAATGCATCAGGTCTGTGTCATGTATATCTGCATGAGATTGATGCCTGTGAGAATTGTCACTAGTCTTGATCAACATCAAATTCAAGCCATGATTGGCTTGAGCATGTGAGGAATCTGAACTATGACTAGTATCAAACGATCCAAGTGACATGTTACTAAGATCCATTGGAAAGTTCAAATCATTCATAGAACTTCCAAAACTCCTAATGGAAGTGGAGGAAGCTTCCCATGAGTGAAAATCTTCATCTTCCCTACTTGGGTCAGGAATGGAGACTCCATTACTTTTGCACCACTTTAATATTAAGTCCTTTATGGCAGTGTTAGGAGTCAATGCCATATGGGCCAGTTTCTTTTTAGTTTTTGGGCAAATAGCATTACCCTCATCAAACCACTTTTGTATCCACATCCTTTCAAATGTTTCTCCTGATGCAATGACAACGGGGTCAAACATCAACCTTGAAGATATTGGACATGTATATTCCTCTGGGGGTGTAACTCTACCCAACTCGCTGGTGTGAGTTCTACACTGATCATAGTTCAAGTATGGATCAGACTTAACATGATGGATGCATTGAGAATCATGACCAGAGTTCTCAGTTGCAATTGGTCCTTCAATATGAGAATAGACCTTCTCCATTTGTTCCCCCTTGATTAAGTTTCCATACTTTATAAGAAGATACAAAAGATATTTCAAGATCATCTTTTTTCTCTGGTCATTTGGTCCCACATTTTCTAACAACTTCTTTATAGATCTTTTCTCTACTAAGATGGTCGTTGGGGATGTAATATTAAGTCTTGCCGCTGCAAACTGAAGAGATTCAATTTCAGAATTTTCCATTGAATCTTTATCTGAGGTTGCAGGACTTTGCTGGAGCAATTCTCTCACAACCCTCCCAGCTTCTTCTTCAGCAGAATCCAGGACAAATGTCACACACCCAAGATCATCAATTATTCCAGAAATCTGCAAGAGACATTGCAATGCCAGCTAGAGTATTAAAATGAAGCTCCAAATGGAAATGTAAAATAGATCCTATATATTAATATCATAACAACAATAAATCCTATCCAGAAATACGCAACCACCCACATTTCTCAACTAGAAAACGAAGTCCTCAGCATTATGTGGATTGTTTTTGACTTTTTAATAACCAAATGAGTTCTATGAGAAGGGCCTGATTCTTTGATAGGGAGTGTAAGAAAAGAATCAGAGGCAGTGTACTAGACAAATAAAAATGGATTGAGTGCTAACTTGACTAACCTCTGCAGCCAACATAACTGGAACCATACCCTGAATCTGGACTAAGCTTTTCTCTAATGATTTTTTTGCCTTTTTGCATTTTGAGAGTACCGAGTCCCCTGTCATTGCCTGAAAGTAATATTAGAACCAATTAAATTAGCATGCAACATGCTGGTCAATATTTTTCTACACATTATAAACTTATTTCCAAATTTTTGCATAACTATGATATGATAGATTAACATAAGATTAAAAAAAAAAAAAAAAGACAAATCACGATGCACAAGGCTCCTCGACTTACGAGGATAGGGGTAAAAATCAATTGTACGTAATGTTAACCTTATATTTTTGCAAAAAGATTATTTCTCAAACTCGAATCCGTGACCTTCCGATCACAAGGTGTAAGCTTACCGCTGCTCTAAGGCTTTTCCTCTTGTATTAACATAAGATAACCCGTTTTAAAAAAATTTGAACTTTGATGAAGAACTACACACCAGGTATAGTTTACTAGATTCGGAGCAATGTTGCAGAAGTTGTTTGGCTGTATCAATTGCACTGTTTAGCAAACACAGAGACTGTATTCCTGATGAGGATCGAGGGCGTGCTTCCTCTATACGTGGAAATATCCTTAAGACTCTATCAACTAATTTCTTCAGTTCTGTGCACATTGTACGATGTACCTTTTAACATGAATTACAATCAATAAAATGCTTAGCTCCAGTATCCAAGTGAAAAGCACCCACATATCATAAATGAGTCAATTCAATCAATACAATTAGCCATGAAAGTTCAATGTCACAGAACACCTAAAACATGGGTAGGTAAATGCAATTGTTTTCTGTACCTTAAAGGAGAGGGGATTTGGTAATGTCTGTACTACTTCACAACCATCAGTTCCCATTCAGGGGAGTGTCCTAAGCCACAAATTAATCAGAAAGGAAAAGAGCATTAAGTTAGATAATGCACTTCTTGCACAAAATCATACATTAAGCTTAAAAGAAACAATTACTGCATGCGAAAAATCAACCTCCTGTAAATTTTTGGTTGCAACATGCAGAGTGATAAGGGTTGCTATTGATAAACTCAAAGCTGCTTACCTCAAAAAAGCATAAGAGGTAGTATTCATCTAAAAAGCACAGAAACACACCAACATGAAAATAAGCATAAATATACATACCCATATCAAGTGCCATGTGCACAAGATGATTTATCAGTAACATACGCACAAAATCCTTAGCACTGTATAAAAGAACAAAAGCCATAGGGAAAAGAAAGATTTGCGTTGGGATACTCCACCAGATAAAGCAAAACTATGGTATCTTCATTGCAAATAATATTCAAAATATACCATTGAAAATTTACACCTAAAACTAGAATATATCTTATTCTAATTGCTCAGCAATCAGCATAAAAAGACCAACCAAATGAGAAAACTAAGATGTCCAGAATTCTTTTCTGACACATCATTTCAATTTTTTGTTTAAGATCACCACGTTGCAAAGCGACACTAGAATTAGACAAAGGCACGGGGGAATATCGTCAAAGACAAAAAAATAAAAAATAAAATAATAATAATAATAATAATCAGTTCTAAAGATGAAAAGAATTTAGTATATTGGGATTTTGAACCTAAACCCCTGGGGTAGCTCAACTAGCAAGTTAAGCATTCAAGGGCCGATTATTCTCACCCTTTCTCCAATAAGAGTAGTCTAATATACCCTCGGTTTTAATGAGCAGCTAGGCTTTATTTCCAGAACAAAGTGGTCGGATACCTCCGGTTTATTCAAAAAAAAAAAAAATGAAAATAGAAGGTTGAAGTTAAGCAACTTGGATTACACCATAGCAAGCAAAAAAGGAGAATAAATTACCTTGTATAACGAAGATGATAAGAAGCAATCACCACGCAGCTTATATAGAGAATCCCAACAGTACCAAATAGAATAATACCAAACCATCACATAATCCAAATATGCCACAACCCACCATCAATAAAAATATCTTTCAAACCACTACAAATTGCTATACGCCACGAGCCGCCAAAATGAATAGCGATAAAACAGTAAAATCTCCATTAACTTGATTGTATGGATTTCAATATAGCATCTTTCGTTCAGCTCTACCGTAGATAAGCATGGTGAACAAAACGCAACAACTGTTCCATGGAGTTTTTATCGAAGTAAAGTAGCACGTGTCCGTGTTCATTATCTCTTTATATCACCAAAACTCAACTTTTTGCTAGTTCATGTACTTCACCTCATAATTGTCCCACATCAGAGAGTAGTAACCAAGAAAACCCAGAATTGATATTTGATTTATGAAAATACGGAAAATAAAACAAGGAAGAAGATAGCATTGAATTTTGTGGCCCGTGAGAGAACATTTAATTATGATAACCCACCAAAGCAAAAGGGCAAATTTTTTATCTTGAGTGAAAACAAGGCATGCCCATGAAAAGAGAATCAATCATTCTCAGAAAACAACTTCAAGTGTCTTGGCCTAAGAGAATGTGATTGTTGAGTTTCAAGGAAGGTGGGGGAGAGAGAGAGAGAGACGCGTGAATTGATGAAAAGTGGAACGAAGCAGCTTCCATATCCCAACTAGTGTGTGTCAATGGCATTTTGACCAAGAAAAATAGACAAACGCCACTTTAACAAGTGAAGTAAACTGTGGTCATTGTTGGGTTACCAGCCTGTGAGGGCTGTGATCATTGTGGACCGTCCATCTCCACACACATATAAAGTGGTCTGTGTGGGTCCCAGTGTGCTCGACGCTGCTGTTGTTAAGGTGGCTATGGTTTTGTTGACTAAGGTAAGAATTACAGACATTTGAATCCGCTGACTCTATGGAATGCAAATAATTATAAATTATAATATTAAATAGGCTAATGGTGAATCCAAAAAAAAAAAAGCTTAGCATATGTAAAGTTTAAAGCAATAATTCGAGAAAGGTAAAGACATGGCCAAAAGCCCAAAACAAACAAATCTCCTGGAAATCTTTTTTAAATTTATCTCTTCAAATTTTCCTTTCATCACTAAATCTATATGAAGTTTGATTTTAAGTGGATGTGTTTAGCTATTTAAAACTCCTTACCATTCGTATATAAAGTTTGGATTAAGTATGTAGAAGTTTGTTACCAAAAAATAAAAAAAGTATGTAGAAGTAGGGGTGGTAAACAAACCATGACCCTTTCAGGGGCCTTTGACTCGACTCGTGAAAACTTGAGTTTATATGTCTAAAATTGGTTATTAGAATCAGACTTGGACTAGTATAAAAATTCATTTATTAAAAAGACCTCAGGCTCCAATTCAAAAGTTCGACCTTAGAGCCTCTCAGGCTCGCCTAGTATATTAATTTTCATTTTATATTTTTATACTACTTGTAATAACTCTCTCTCTCTCCTCAATCAATTTCACCTCATTTTATTGGTTAAACAGACTTTTTGAATTATTTTGTTCTATATTATATTGTTTGGATATACATTGAATTTATGAATATTTATAAAATTACTAGTAATGTTGATTGTATATTCTGTTTAGATAAATTTGTGTTGTCTTATTTTTTTAAAACAGACTAACAGGATAAATCAGGCTTTTTTTTTCTAAATAAGTCTGGCAACATGTCGATAATTATTTTCATAACAGGTAACATGCTTGGTCAGGCTGACACATTTAAATACAGGCTTAGTCTTTTAAGACCAAAACTCCACTTGGCTTGTCCCGTTAACACCCCTATGTAGAAGTTAGCTTTTTTTTATTTAATTAAAAAAAATTACTTAAAAGTCAAACTATAATTGATTTAGTGATTAAAAAAAGATCTTCAAGAAATAAACTGAAAAGAATCATACTTCAAATTCAGAGGAGTAAATAATATATGGAAAATAATTTTTTTATGTTGTAGAAAAATAATTATCTTATGTTGTAGAAACAAGATTGCAAGTGGGACCCATAGGTAAGAGGAGAGAGAAAAAGAAGAAGTGGAACACACCTATTTTTTTGTGTGTAAAAAATTTAGTTATCTCGTACAAAATGAAATAAATATAACCCGTAATATATAGCTGTAATGGAGACTATATAATTGCTTATATGTAAGAATGAGTTTTTCTCTTATTCTTTGGGTGTGCATGATAACCATTCTATTTCCTGACACTATTTCTGAAAGGAAACAATTCTTTTCTATTTCTATCTCTTGGAACAGTTTCTGAAAAAAAAAATGTTTAATAACATGTTCTATTTTTATTATGAAAATGAGAATTACGTTTGATAACACAATAAATAATATAATAAAAAATAATTCCTATTAAGTATAAATTTTTTTCGAATCATCATTTTCTTTTCCATATGATGTGATGGTGGTGGCGGGGTGGTGGTGGTACATGTAGTGATAGTGGTGGCGGCGGCAATGGTGGTAGTCGTGGTGGTGGTAGTGGTAGTGACGACAGTGGCTGCAACGATGGTGGTGGTGGTAGAGATGGTAATGGCTACGACTATGGTGGTGGTGGTGGTGGTGGCGTGGTAGTGGTGGTGGTGATGACATGGTGGTGTTCGTGATGGCATGGTGGTGGTTGTGGCGATGGAGGTGGTGGTGGTGGTGATGACAATGGTTGTGGTGGTGGTAGTAGTGGTGGTGGTTGTGGCCATGGTAGTGGTGGTTGGTGACGGTGGTGGAAGTGGTGGTGGTGACAGCAGTGGCCACAATGATGGTGATGGTGGTTGGTGATGGTGGTGGCGGTGGTAGTGGTGGTGATGGTGTGGTGGCATCGTCCTCGTCGTGGTGACAACGACATTGGTGATACAACGATAGTGGCGATGGTCGTGTCGCGATGATGGTGATGATGATGATAATAATAGTGGTGGAGAATGTTTAAGAGAAATAAGTGTTTCTCATTTTTTGTCCGGGAATAAAAAAGCAGAAATCTTTTGATTATTTTTTTTGTTCTCAAACACAAAAATTTAATCGGTTCATATCGGGAACAAAAAAATAAACTGGTTTAACCAAACGAGTTTTCTATCCATTTCTGTTTTCTAGAACATAAATTAAAAAAAATTGATTTCGGAAAGATTGTCATGCACACCCTTTAAATACCATAATGAGGTTTTTATTTTGTAAGAATAATTAATGTTTCTTTTTTCGATGCTCGTAACAATTATACTTGATGTACTTAGTTATTGAACATAAATGCTTAGTGAAACAGCCACTATAATTTCATTTGAGAGGTTTGAGAAGCAAAATGTGAGTCTATAATTAATTTAGTTTAATTGCCAAATATTTGTTGTAATTTTCACTTATTTTCAATTCCAAACTACTTATTATAATAATAAATAAATAAAATATGTGTGACTCATTTAGAGCCTGTCTCATTTAAAGCTTGTTTGACACATTTTTTTTAAAGATAAAAGCTACTTTTAAGTTAAAATTAAAAAAAAAAGTTTTAAAAATAAAATTAAAAATTATTTAATGATTATATAAAAATTACATAAGAACTCAGGCTTTTTCACCCTTTTGCCCCTTATTAATTAATTAATAACCATTTTGCCCCTGATTCGAAACTATCTACCAATCTGCCCATCTTTAATCGACTACCTTGCATTTTTAATCGACTAAACGGTTGTTGGGAGATTTAATCGACTAAATCTCTCTACTTAATCGATTAAAATCATACTGACTTTTTTTTTTTTTTTTGTAAAATATGAAGATTTAGTCGACTAAATAGGGAGATTTAGTCGACTAAATCTTCCAGCAGTCATTTTTTGTCTGTTTTGGCCATTTAGTTGATTAAAAATATAAGGCAGTCGACTAAAGAGGGGCAGATTGATAAATAGTTTCGAATCAGGGGCAAAATGGTTATTAATTAATTAATAAGGGGTAAAATGGTGAAAAAAACCTAAGAACTCAAGTTAAAAATAAGCTTATATAACTTAAAAAAAAGTTAGGATCTTTAGGCTTTTTTTATTATAAAAAAAACTCTTTTTAATATAATTAAGCTTTTATAAAAAAAAATTGATCTAATTCCTTCTTATATGGGGAAGAGAAATTAAAAAAATCCCTCGAACAGGCACTTAGTTTGAACATATATTTTCGGAGAGGAGTTTTACATTTGCTGACACAACTATTTTCTTTTCTTTTTTCTTCCTCCTCTTTTTCCTAGGCTCTCTTAATGGGGGTTTTCTAATCTTCAACCTAGCATGAGGCTTCTTTTAGACCCCAGTAGGGTTTAATATCCAAACAATGATAATAGTAATAACAATATTAATAAAATCTTACAAGAGTGGTTATAAGATAAACTCCTAATTATATATGATGTAAGATAGTACTCTTCCGTAAGTCAATTCACCATCATATGGTTTTTAACTTTGGTAACTGAGTTTAATTTTTTTTTAAGGAAAATATGAATGTTGTATGATGCAACATAGGTTATGTTGTAGACTAAAAAAAACATGGGGCCCACTTTGTTCAAAAGAGAGAAAAAAAAATTGAAGTGAGTTCCACATTTTTTTTAATTTAACCTAAGTTGTATCCTACATCACTATTCATATTTACCTTTTTTTTTAATGTTAACTATGGTTATGCGAAGATAATAATAGCTTTTATTCTTTCAAAGGTATATATGATTCACGTTGAACGGAGTAATATAAGAATATTGTTCTAGAACATGTATATTGTGGAATATTTTGTTGCTACCTACCCAAATCTTCTTCCTAATTACATGTATACTTGATTAATTGTTAATTGAGAAATGAATTAGTTCCAGGATCTCACACCAATCAATGTTTAGACTTCAGAGTCCACTAATTATAATAAATAACCAATTAAAAGTGTCAAGCGTAGGGGTGTAA